GAAAAAGGAAACGCTACGCCTGCAAGAAGCCTTATCTTCCGGGGTGGGCCCAAAGGGCCGCCCCTTTCCCAGCGCGGTGCACACTGGGACATGTAGTTAACCACGGTCTCAAGGCTTGCGAGCTGGTGTACAGGGGAGAAGCACTCTCAGGAAGCATGACCCAGGGTAGGCGCAGGAGAATGGGGGTGCCGACGCGAGAAACCTGGTGAAGATTAAGGTCTAGGTAGGAGGAAGCCACCTGTCGAGTCTTCAAAAAGTCGGGCAGAGGGAGCGGAAAGACCGTGGCCTCAGCTTAGCAGGTGCGCGCGGTGGGGGTTGCAAAGACCAAGGATAGGAAGGAGCAGGGAAAGTTGCCCACTGTGGGGAGAAGATCAAAACAAAGTAAAGGAGGGGTTGCTAGGCTAGAAAGTGTCCAATAGATGTCTGTGGTGACACAGAGTTTCCAAAGAGAGGGTCCTCTCTCACAGTGAAAACTGTCAGTAGACGAGGTGGTAGAGGCTGGTAAGGCAGAGGCCAAAAACGCTATCCTAAGAAGAGGAAGGGACAGCCCTTGATCACCTGCTCAAGTTCTACAGAATGCTGGGGCATAGGGCACTCCCGAAGGCCAGTGGAGCTGGGGGTGGCAGGGCTCAAGGAGCTGTAGAGTGGGACATCAGACCACAAAGGGACATGGTGAGGAGTTCTGGGTCAGCCCAGAATAGAACCAGAGAGATAGGAGCCTACATGGGAAGAATGAAATAGGGGCCAAACACTGCTGCACACACATGCTATGGATTCCCTGACAAAATGGGTAGGCTACTTGTGTGCTGTGTACTCTAGTGGTGGCACTAAAGCCCCAAGTACAGCCAGAAAGCCAACTAGGACTCTGTAATGTTTACAAGACAAGGCACTGGCAGGTATCCTCCCATAGTCTCAAAGAATGTGACTCGACCTTCACCAGCTTCTGCAGGCACCTTGCCTGGTATGAAGCAGGGTCTCAACAGACCTGGGTGAATGACTAATCTGGATGAGGACGACAGGCACTGGGCATGGAAGTTTTGGGGCCTTTGGGATGAGTTTTATCTTCTCTCTGCTGCCATGGTCTGGCCCTGCCCACATGGTACCTCTGCTTGCACTGATCATGACCCCTCATTTCATCTAGTCAGCTAATCCCTGCTTTTAAGATATAATTTTAGAAACTACCTGTGTATTTTTTAATACAGTTCTTTAACTGTTTCTTGTCACATATATGTAATTTGGAGTACCTGGGATTGTTGGGATTGTCAGGTTGGGATTCATTCTCATTCTGTCTCTGTCTCTCTCTCTCTCTCTCTCTCTCTCTCTCTCTCTCT